AACATTTAAAGCACATAGAAATGGTATTTGTGGAACAGGATAATAATAAAGGGTTCTGTGGTCTTGTGAGGTCTGGCGAGGTGGTTTGTGCCTGAGGGGTCCAGAAAAAAACGATTACTCTGACTTTCCAAGAGAACGTTATCTTAGATGCAAAAAGACAATAGATAGGCTTACTTAAGGTAAAGATTAACCTTCAAAAAAGCCACAGGCTCGGAATGTGACTACCTGCCATGACTCCCTTTCAGTTAAGAATTTTTGTGTTCAATCCATCCAATGTGGTTAATTTCAGACTCCGAGTTTATAGGGCCCGCCATGCAGGCTGCTTCTGAGCTTGTCAGGTTTAGTATGTCGCCTCTCTTTTGTCCACAGTAACATTAAAAGTATTTTGAAGTAAAGCCAAATTTATAATTATTTACCACATAATTCTTATGTGGTAAATAGCCAAATTTATAATTATTTTCCTTTAATTTTAATGAAATATAATTTTGTGTCTATATATTTATACTATTTAATTGATTCTAAACCTGTAAAGAACAATCAAAACAACCACATGCATGTATTTCAATATTCCTCAAGTTAGCCTATCCAGTCATCAGTGAAAAAATGATTTTCTATAGAAATGTTCAACTACCTATTTTTAAAAAAATACTATAATTTGCCTGGTTCTCCGCCAGCTATACGGTGTGTTTGTCATGAGTCCGTTCATTGTCAGCCATCTGTGTGTGGAAGGCCTGTAATTCTCCAGCGAAGGGCTGACTGTCAGTCCTGACAGGTGTCTGGCAGGAAACTGGAGGAGGGAGGGAACCAGGGAGTGCAGGCACCATGCAGTGTGCAGGAGTGAGGACCTGGTGATACCTGGGTCTTCTGATTTTTAAAGAGAAACCAGAAGCATGAGTAATAATGAGGTAATTTTAATGCCTGCTAATATTTTAATACACTGTACAATCTCCTCCCAAAAATCTGTGGCCCACAATCCGCCAGTGGGCTGCCAGATGATGGCTTATCCTAAATGCCCAATGATATGAGAGCCAGATGAGTAGAAATCAGCAGAAATGGAACAATTGTAGTACTGGCTGTGCCGGGAGCATCAGGCTCATGCGATGGTGTGTAGAAAACAAAGAGTTTAAAGGCAGAAACATATTTATAGTTGCCCCGGACTTAAAATTAAGAGAGAAAGCTTTTGACATGGTACAAAGAGAAGGGAGTTTGTTTTCTGAGACAGTTGATACTCACACTTGGGGCGTCTCTCCTCTGACTACAGTCTCATTCAAAGCAGTGATGTGGGGCACAGGAACAGTGGCCTTTCTTCAGTGAAGGAGTGGAGGAAGGAGAGGATTGATGCATGAGTTTCACTATTGGAATGGAAGGACTCAGCCCGAAGGCTGTGGGATGAGGGACTTCCTGCACCACCCTGGGGAGACCTCCAGAACCAGCTAAGGAAGAGAGTTGACTGAAGGGGGGAAGGGGAGAATGCTGCTGCTGCTAAGAAAGCAGGAAATAAATACCAAGATAACTTTGTGATCATTTTGGAAGCTTTGTGATTTCTCCATGCTTATTGCTCCTGTTAGCACCCCTGTTCATGTTCTTATAATGGTTAGATGAAACATCCCTAAAAAGAAGCAAGCAACAATGCCTGTTTATTTTGAAGATCAGCAAATGGAAGCCAGGTACTATGAGGACACCAGATATCTTTTCCTTTGGGACTGGGAAATGGCATCCATGAAAGGAGAGGAGAGCAAGCTGGAGATTTGGAAAATTTGGGAGGGGGAAGCGCTGCCTGAAGAACCAAGCTGGGAAGGAGAGCAGAGCCCAGCACTGCTCTAATTGAAAGATGGAACGGCGCTCCCTTTCCATCTCGCATTGCCAGACTCAAATGCAATCCCCAGTTAAATCTGAATTTCTAATAAACCACACACACACACACACACACACACACACACACACGCACATCCACACACGCATGCACACACGCATGCACACACACAGCACATGCAATATTGGGACAGACTTACACTAAGACATTACTTGTTATTTACCTGAAATTTAAATCTAATTGGGCATCTTGTATTTTTATTTGCTAAATCTGGAAACCCTGCTCCCACTTTTTGCTAGTTCTCCAACCCCAATGCACAACAGTGTGATCAGGGGCTGCATGAGCCCCATTCAGAAGAGGAGAGTGACCCGGAAGCAGCCAGCTGAATTTGAGAAACGCTTCCTGTGAAAGGGCTACAGGCCCAGGGACAGAGTCCCACCCGGGCAAGGAAGTGCCATACTTCTGACCTTCGTGTCAGATACTCATTGGTTCACCTCCTACTAGCTTTGTGATTCTCAGCAAGTTATGTTACATCGCTGAGTCTTGCTTTTTTTTTCATCTGTAAAATGGAGAAAATGATATCTCTCACTGATGCTTTGCAAGAGTAGCTAGAGAGGAAAGTGGTATTAAATGAGATGGTGTTGTAACACTCCCAACCCAGTGCCCAGATAAATTACTTGATAAAATGGTAAGGACAGTTCTTATTACTCTGTTCAAGGAGTACACTTCTTAGTAAATCACACTTTCATGTGTTACACACCATCAAGAAAAAACAGGCCCCATATCCTCCACGAGACATTCCAAGGGGTGATGTAGGTTTATCTTATTCTCTTGAAGTTCCTGGAAATTTGTTAGCAGATGTAGGGAGGATAGGATAAGTTCATACTAGTCTTGTCAAAAAGCACTGTAACTCAGGATCTGCTTGTCCACCAGATATTTATTGCTCTAAAACAGAGCCAAGAAAACACCCCGCTCCTCACTCCAGGTAGACAAGAAAGAGATTCAAACCATCCCCGTGTCTCATAGCTCTAACGCCTCAAGCAAATCAGTATGGACATACTAAATCTAACACCGAACTAAGAGGGTAGGTAGCTTGCTTCCTCCCAACATTCCTCTAATAAATTCAGATTCTCCAAAAATAAGTGCATTGCCAAGGAATTTCAAGGCACACAAAGGTGAAACTTGGGGTTTGCAAAAAAAAAAAAAATTAATTGTAGCTTGTTTTACTAAAAACAAAAATATTTTACTTGAATTTATCTTTCTTTAAATGACTGTTACAAAAGTAAAAAATTATCAGAGTTTTAGCTACATTTCACTGGCTCAGATTGTAGTGGAGATGGAGGGCAGTTAGCTGCAGGCAGGATGACAGGAGTCATCTAGTCTTGTGTTCCATCTGCAACATATAGAGGAAATCCTCTATATGTGGCGACCTTTTCTTCCTTTTCCATCTACAAGGAGGTTATTGCCAGAGTGATCATCAAAAATTCAGAAAGGACAGAAGTTTGGTAATAGTAATATTTTATTTTGTTCTGGAGAGCACAGAGTAGTGATGGCGTCAAAGGGGGCCCCACAGGCTTTGCTCCATGAGATCTTGAGCAAACTCCATTCTCTCAGAGATTCTCATCTTTCATCTATAAAATAAGGTCATTCTACCTACCCCAGTGGTTATCGTGAGGGTCAAATTAGTATGTAAAATGTTCTGCCCTAGAAACCCACCTTCAACACTCTTTTTCTTGGTCTGTAGTCCCTGAATGTCAGCTATCCCTAATACAGTAATAGACTGCTAAATGACATTGACTTTATTTCTCATTACCTAATAGGCCTATCTTCTTGGATTTTCCAATGTTATCTTATGGCCAATAAATTAAAAACTGAACCCATTACATCGCCCACACCCCTACCCAGACCTGCTTTTTGTGCCTGTGATGCATCCAAGTTTCAGTCTGATGGATGAGCCTTGAATAGACCTGATACACACTGTGCTTCCAAGTGCCTTTCCCACACCAGACTTTTCCAGACTTGCTAGGTCAACCTAGATGTCATTACCTTAAAAATACCCAGAATCCTGTGAAAGGGATACTTGGACTTGGAAGATGAAACTGAAATTCACCTCTTAAAAAAGGGTTCTGAAATTGAGGGCAACCAATTAAAAACTGACAGGCTGAGAAAAACTGTATGGTTCTCCCACTCCAATATCTTGCATTCCATGAGATAAGGAACAAAGAGCTGATGTTGAACAAAGAAGTCTCTTAGACACTTGAGTTCTAACTCTTTAACTGGGGTGAGCAGAGCCAGCCAGAAAACCATGCTGTTTGAGGCAGAGAATGTAAGATGTTTGAGGCAGGGACTCTGTTGAATTCCCTACTGAATTCCTCATTCCTAAAGCAATGTCAAGAACATAGTAGGCAGTCAGAAAATATGTTTTGAATGAATGAAAGAGGGTCATGTTTTTGAAGAGGATCACTAGGTCCACGAGCAACATTTCAGATTTGATTTTCATGAAAGTTACATTTCATCCTGAAATTCACAGCAAGGCTGGTGGTATTCTCAGGGCCTGCATAAATATTTTACCCATTTTGCAAATTACTTTCAAACTCCTACATAAACTCTGAATTCTATTGTTGGACAGTTTTCAAGGTTAAAATTTCCCCACTGTAAGCCCTATAGCTTTCATTTCTTAATGTTTATTTTCTGTTTTATGTAAAATTAGTTCAAAGATAATGGTAACCAGTTATTTTTTTTGTCTCCTCAGAAGATAATCAAGAGCCAACAGACAAATTGAATCTTGGCATTTATACTTAGAATTAGGAAAGAAATATTTTCCTAATGTTATGAATGTTAAATTGTAGAGTGAGTTGCTTTATCTGGAGCCCTCGAAAAAGCATAGATTCTGTTATCATTAGTACAGACTAACTGGGTATGAATTGTGCCTGAAGAAAAGATGCAGGGATAGAAGAGAGAAGGCAAATACACGGTGAAGATGGTGATACTCCTACTTTCATACCCATTGCAGATATCACTAGCTGATTGCAGTATCCTTCTTTCTAAGCTCAGGCAATCTTTGTTATTAACACAGGGCTTCAAGTAGCCATAACCAATCAATCAGTGCCATAGGAGATTTATCCATTTTAACACACATTTACTGAGTGCTGACTGTTTATTGACTGTTTATTAAAACAAGCAAACATTTCTATCTTCATAGAGCTTACATTAAAGTGGAGACAGAAGAGGAGTCAGTAATTAAGATAAATAAGTGAAATAAGTATCTTAGATGGTAATAAGTACAGCAGAAGTAAATGCACCAGGAAAAGGGAATGTTGGGAAGAGAGGTTGCATTGTTAAATAGGGTAGCCAGGTGTATTAGTTATCTTTTTCTCAGAATTTAGTGGTGTAAAACAACAAACATTTGTTATTTCACAATTTCTATGTGTCATGAGTTCATGAGCAGCTTAGCAGGGTGGTTCTGGGTTGGAGTCTTTCATGAAGTTGTAATCAAAATGTCAACTGGGCTGTAGTCATCTGAAGGCTTGAACAGGGCTGGAGCCTAACAGCCAATGAAGAGAGTTCTTCAAGGAGTTAGGAATGATCAACTTATTTGCTACTGATTTATCAAGGAAGTTGAGAATTTAGAATTTCCATTGGATTTATGAACATGAAGGCCATTGGCTAATTTGCTGGAACAATTTCAGTGGAGTGGTGGTGTAAATGCCTGATTGAGGGGATTCAAGAAGGGATGGGAGGAGAGGAATTGGAGATACCAAATATAGTCATATTGTTTGATGAATCTGAGAAATTCTGCTGTAAAAAGGAAGGAGAGAAGTAGCTAGAGAGGAAAGTGGTATCAGGAGAAATAGCTATGTGCTATCCAGATTATCATTTATGCTAGAGTGGTGATAGAGAAAGAGGTTGGGCGCACAGGCTCTGGAATCAGATTTCCTCATTTTGAATCCTGGCTCCACATCTTACTACTTATGTGAATTTGGGCAAGTCGCTTAACCCATCTGTGTCTCAGTTTCTTCATCTGCTACATGGAGATTATAATGGTCTCTTCTCATACGGTTGTAAAGAATGAGTAAGTTGCTTCATGTAGAGTGTTTAAAACAGTTCTTGGTGTATGAAGAACTTTCAAATAGGTGGTAGCTTTGTTGATGATGAAGATGATGGTGATGTGATGGACCAGCCAGATTTCCACACTTCTCAGGGAGCACCTGGAGCATTAGAGGAAAGAAGTTTAAGGCCCCATTAATACTAAATCTGCTGACATAGTCATCTTTCCC